ACAGAATAAATTACATTTTAAAATATATTAAAATATAATAATTTGAAATTGCAATAATATTTCACAATATTACAGTTTTTATAAATAAATTCAGCCTTGGAGATCTTCTTTCTAAAACATGAAAAAAATCATACAAACCCTAAATTTGTGAATGGTCATGTACATTAATATATGTAGCTGTCTTTATTTATTATAAAAGGCTCTAGTAAGGTACCCTAGTAAGGGCATCATTATATTTGGATGTGTATGACATCAAAAATCTAAAAACCCCTGTGATAAAGGAAATGAATGTTCAATAAATGTATTATTTAAAAAATTAATTACAGTTGTATTTATTTTTAATTTCGGAGTTTAATTTAATCTATTCATTTTATAAGTTGCCTATCAAGAGCTAATAACCTGGTTCACCTTGGAAGCATTAAGATATATATTATATTTCAATCCATGGCAGATATGTATGAAACATATAATCATCCGAAGGATCAGGGGCTCAGTCATTCCAAAGTGGTTTACCGAAGCACGAGCCGTCCCCTCCTTATGCTGCCATAACTTCATTACAGTGGTTTTAAAAGAGGAAAATTGTTCCAAAGTAGACCCTCAAACAGTCCGAAACACTCACGCTCAAAAACATTTGACCCACAGAATCTCATAATTTTAATGACACGCTATAACCTCACGCAAGCCCCTGCCTCTCCAGCCACAATTTACCATCATTCTGTGCCTTGAGTTCCCAGCAGTGCATCCACTTCCTCCTCAAAAGCATTCCAGATTCCTCAGAGCCTACCAGAAGAGAGCAGCTGACGATTATCTGAATGTGATTTTGTAAGACTGCACTTGAGGGGGGCATGACGGCAACGCTGCAATACGAGTGATTCTTTGACCTCTGTTGTCAGGTCCTGATGTCAAACAGCAGGAGACACAATGCTCCCCTTTGTCTGGAGGCCATCTGGGGGCATGTTTACATGCTTCTCCAAGAGGGCTTGTGTTCAAGACCGACAGGCCATCTAATGATGAGCTGCTTCACCATTTACTGCTCCTCTAAACCTGCCATTTACATTTCTTCAAATGTGCTCTTAAAGCAACAGCTCAACTACAATTTAACAATCGGTCATCATTTACTCACCCTTACATATTCTACATTTTCTTCAAAATATCCTGGCTGCTCATTTTAGCATAAATATAAATATCATCAACGTGTTCCATTTGACTTATTCACTATTCTTCGGAAGCCATATGATAGCTTTATGGATTGCAAGTTAAAACTAATTGAAAATCTTGACATCCATCTTAGCATTCATCCCTATGGTATCATAAGACAACTATGTCTATGTGCAATTAAACTATGGTCAAATGATTCTGAGTCAGATCTTTTCAATTAATCAATTGATCCAGCTTTCAAAAACAATTCAATTGAATCACTTCACCAAAACTGGCTAAATGATTAATTTACAAACCAGACTAATACAGCTTTTGCATCTGACTCCGTGATCTGGTCAATGGTTAAAAACTCAATACTGTGGAAATTTATTATTGAAATTTATGACTTCACCACCACAAAATGACTGTATAGCAAATCATCTTATTAATGAATTAAATAAAGTGAATGAAGTGATTGAGATGACAAAAATTATTCCAATGAACCAGTTCACAAAGAGAGACTAAATATAGCTCTCGCATATAATTCACTAACTCAATTATCCGATCACAATGGTTAATAGCTCAATATAGTGGAAAATTATTAGTGACACAGTATTAGTTACACAAAACGATTATACAGCAAATTCAGAAATGGACATTTTCAAAGGATGATCACATGATTGCTCAATGATCTGGTCACTACAGTAAATTTACAAAACTAACTACTAGAGCCCGACCAATATGTTTTTTTTGGGGCCGATACAGATACCGATACTAGGGGGTAAAAAAGGCATATATCGATATATCGGCCGATATTCTTTGTGTATATTATAGTACAGTACCAGTCAAAAGTTTGGACACTTTCCCATTCCAGGGTCCAAACATTTGACTGGTACTATATATAGAACACAGTATATACATAAACAGAATATATATATATATATATATAAACAAATTTTTTGCAATGATCACTCAGATGTGGTGATCAAACACTTATAGTGACGTGACAAAAATGCATAATGGAGGCAGGACATTTAACAATTTAACAATAAACTTTATTATCCAAAATGAGTCTGACATCAGTGCACTGAACAGTAAAGTTGAAGTTTATTCAACTTTAATTCAATTAAATTCCATTCAACTTTATTCTTTTGAAGTTTTTTTCACTTCGGAACATTCATTCAGGGATTTGCGCTACTGTCTTCACACACAGACGAAACTTACTAGAGAAGTGTGACGTGTGACATAATATACCTCTGTAAATAAATACAATATAAATTCACATCTCGCGCACTTTAATGCCCTTTGAATGTAACGTGTACATTCCCTTGGAACTGGAATCATGGCGGAATTTCATGTGAAGTCCACTTCGCAGGGCACTTACGGTCGAATAAGACAACGCTTGAATGCTGCTGCCTGAACAAGAGACCTCCTTACTGAAGTGTAAATGTTGACTGGTATCACTATCTCGCGAACGCGCCGGCCGATCTCCACCAAATTCGGGGGATCCCTTCAGCTCGAGGAGCCCTCTCGAA